CCTTTCCCCGAATGTAAAAGTGCCTGCTTGTGATATCAGAAGAATGTGTTGACAGATCTGTATCCTGTTTCAGACTCTACTGTAGTTTATGGTGGGACCAGAGGCGACAGCCGCAGAATTAACTCAGTCTCCCGCTTTTTAGGACCCTCTGGCTTCCTGTAGGTGTTCATAGATAAGAACCATCCAGAGAAAGCGTTTTCGTTTTTGCTGGTTTTTATGTTTGTTTAGAAGATGTTGAGGAAATTGAGTCCAGAGTTTTAAGGGTCTTGCTACTTGGGCCCTGTCAGTTTCAGTTTAATGCCTTCCAGCATTATTTATAAGGTCCTGTCATAATGCTTGGCATATAGTGGACTCTCAACCAATGAGACTGCCAAAATGCTATACTTCAAGTACAGTCTGAAAAGAATACTGCCAACTTCCTTTCTATTTGCTCCAGGTACTCTTGGTACAAACAGAAAGGTAGGAGCAAAGAGGGAGTTGACCAGTCTTCAAAATAAACCTGGCAATATTGATTGAGATCTAGGAGGCATCAGGCACTGTGCAAGATACTGTGGATTTGCAGTGACAAATTAGACATGGGTTTTGCCCTCTAGTCCCTGATAATCTAGCTGGAGAGGCAAGAAATGAGCATGTGAAAAGTTAACAGTAAGGGATTTTTTATAAAAGCCCAAGATAATAGCATCTTGTCAGGCTGCATTTCAGGAGTACATGATTTATTGCCAAATTAGTTTTGAGACCATTTGGGAGTGGTCAGAAGAAAGCAAGTTTGCTTCTGGCTGGGGCAGTCAGAATGAGGGGGAGAGGGGCTGGTGTGAAATGAACATGAGAGCTGGAGGTTAAGAACTGGCGGCGGGCCCTGGCCGCACGTGAGTAACAGGGTACCTGTTCAGCAGGAGCAAAGAGAAGAGTTTTAGGCAAGTTGAGAATGCAGGAGGATGGAGCTCCATAACGAAGGGCCTCGAACCCTAAACCAGGGTGAGATTTCACCCTGCAGGAAGTGGAAGCAATATAAGCTTTTCAGCAAAGTAGAGATGACTTGAAGAGCTCCCATGGCCCTGATTCAATCTCAGCAACCAACCGTCGTCTGCACTAGCTGCTGCAGGGTCTTCCAAAGCCCAGCATCTTCCTCCTGTGCCACTTAAAGGGTGTGACACTTGAGGAAAACTTTGCAGCTTGGAGGCCTGGCTATGGGCATAAACAAGGGACTTGCTTGTTTTCAGTATCATGTGTACTTGGCATTGAACTTACTGAATGGGGCGAGAGTGACTAGGTAGCTTTAGAAAGCTCCTGTCCAGCTTCCAGGACACTGTTCACTGACTCTGCATTGGAGTTTTGCTAAAGGCATACAGAACCAGACCAGCTTGCTTTTCCTAAGGAAACCTTGGTGTCCTAGAAAAACCTCAGCCTGGTCCCGACTCTGCGGGGTTGAAATTCCTTCTGTCTTCTAGTGCCACACATGTAACACATGCTGTGGAACCAGTTTCTGGGAGTCCAAAAGAGCTCTGGAATCAAGTCAGATTTCAGTTCAAACTTGGTCTGCCTGCCTCTAACCAGTTGTGTGACTGTGGGCAAATTACCTAACCTCTTCCAGTTTGTTTCCTCATTTGTAAAACAGAAACAGTAAGTACTTTGCTGGTGGGTTATAAGTCTTACTGGAGACACAAGTATTATGTAGCACATAGTAGGTCTCCTATATATTTTTCTATTACAAAGTGCATAATATTTCTATAAAGGAAATTAGCTGTGTCTTTTGGCTCTACCCTAGAAATACCAGATTTCCTGACTTTCCAGCTGTACCTTTGCTTCTAGACCTGCCCTAATATTGAGCCCTTATAGGTGGCATGCTCCCCACAGTGAGCCTGATCTAGAAGGGGTTCAGGGAGAGAATTCTGTGGCCCAAGAAGTAAGCTGAACCTAAAGACCATTCTCACTTTGCCAGATCTATTCAGAAGACCCTTCCCTCAGGAACAAGTTGGACACAAAGAAAGGGGATGCTGGTATCAAGCAAGAAAGCATAAAGATTTCTAAATGTAAATCTGTGTTGCCCAAACAACTTTCTAAGACAGATACTCATATGATGTTGACTATGTACCAGCTATAAATTAACCACTTTACAAATATTAACTCATTTATCCCTCAAAGCAACTATATGTAATAGGTGTTATTACCCCATTTTACAGCTGGAGAAACTCAGCCACATAGAACTTATACAACTTACTGAAAGTCACACAAGAACATGGATGACCTTGTTGCCCTGGCATTGCAGAGGGAAAATCATTGTACAAAAATCAGTGGAGAAGGGAACCCATCTGAAATGCCTTCTTTTGATGAAGGGTTTGGGTATCATCACAAGGGATTTCAACCTAGGTGAATCAACAACACTCTCATTCCTGGTGAGGTGCCTGAGCCCTGCTTCTCAGGGAACCTCGTTCTAGTGAGTGGCCTCACTGGGGTCCCCTTGAGACAGTTCTGGCTAGGCCACTCTTTTCTTGATTTCTTTCTTTTAACAAACATCTGCTGAGCATCAACCATGCACCTGGCCTAGTGCTAGGAGCTGGGGACACCAAGGTAATTATAACAAGTTGTAGGCTCAAGAAACTCCCAGTCCAGAGGGGAAAGCCGAGAAATGAACCAGCAGTCACCTTCACGGAAGGAAGGGCTCTGCAAGGCATTCCTTCCTTTCTTCACAGAGCTGAGCCTCACTTTCTCTCAGCCTGGAACCAGAGCCGCACAGTTACTTACAAGACAGGCAGCAGCCGCAGTCTGTGCCCTGACAAAGCTGAGCGGGACGCCTGTGTCCCTTGCCTTCCTCCCTCCCTCACCTCATCGCCCCCATCTCTGTTTCTTGGATGTCTTGCACTCCTTCCCCTTTCTTAACCCTGCCCTTCTGCTTCTCTTGTCCTGTCCAGGGCTCTCCCCAGCACTTACTTGCTGAGTCTCCGTGTCTTGCTAGTATGTTTAAACAACCCAAGGTAAGTCAAAGAATGAGAACAGTTGGGAAACACCCAACCAGATCATGTCAGGCTCATAATGGGTTATTTTGTGTCATGACTCTGGCATTTCCTGTCTCCTTGTGACCTCAACAGTGACCTGAACATTGCAAGACATCTCCTTACTCAAAGGCAGTTTGGTAGGGGATGTTAACAGTTCAGGGAGAAAGGTATCAGAGGTGAGAATGAGCAAGGTCTGAGGACAAAGAGCAACATCTCTCCTGCTGCCAGCTCCTGAATGCCATCTCTGTGTCAGACCTCCTGTTACACAGCCCAGATGGCGTTACTGGGAAAAGTACAGAAGCCAGAGGGAACAGAGAAACTGCCTTGCTGGGTCTCCAAGAAGGGGGACTCAGGAAGGTGATGCTGAGAAAGGTAACTGCCCAGTTAATACTGCTAATGCTCAGCTACAAGCATGGGGAGTCAGCATCTTTAAGAGAAGACCTTTATCACAGTAACTTACTTTCTTCCATTAACTCCATCACTCCACCCCACCTCTTCAGAATTCAATTACTTCTGGGTCATGCAGTGATGTTTTTTGCTCTTCAATCACTGGAAACCAGATGGCTCTGCATTCCTTTGTGCTGCTTTGCTAGTTCTTTGCCTTTGTTTCCTTGTCTTCCTTTGTTTCTTCCACTTAGCTGGCCAGAAATCTGTCCACCACACATTTGTGGGGTTTATACTTTGTGCAAAGCTCTCTGGTAGATACTTGAGAGGACAGAGAGATGCAAAAGACACACCCAGTGCTTTCAGGGGCCTGCAATATGTACAGGAGACACATCTAAGTATAATAGAATAAATACATAGAGTGGAACTTGTTGATTTTTTACCATTTTAGAAGTGATATGGTTCTTTAAAAACAAGCTTTCTGCATCTGACACTTTTTTCTTTTCTGTGGGCTCCAGAAAGGCTAAGTTGATCCTTTGAAGAAAGAAAGTTTGGCATAGGCCAGAAGACAGGGACAGGATGGACACCTCCAACTCCAAGATTTCAATCAGCAGGGCAGCACATGCTTGGGTCAGACTCAGGCCTGACTCCATGCCAGACCTCAGGCCCAGCAGCGACATGCACAGCCCAGAGACAGCAGCAGATGCAATTCTTACTTCTCCAGTTTGCACAAGTTACTGTCCTTTTGTCAAGAGCATAATAATCAAAAGCATGCCAAAGTGATGGCACAGTCATCCCTTCAGGATTTTCATCCCTGGATTAGCTGGTCTTGGGTAAAAGATCTAGGGAATGAGCTGGGAAGGAGTGGGAATGGGGGTGGTGTGGAGCATAAAGTAAACGGTAGATTTGGAGACAGTATTTTGGAGCAGACTATTGTGGTGTTTGGCACATCATTTTGAATGAAATGATAAAGAACGAAAATTCAGGGTAGATTCTCCAGCTTTTCAATTGAGTTTATCTAGGGTTACAAATTCATTCTAGGTAAAATGGATAATAGAATCCTCTATATAACTGAGTTCAAAACATGGACCCCAAAATATCCTTTATTTGACCAGAGGATCAGTCAATTTTATTTGGGGGTGCTTAGGAAAGATGGAAGCGAGAATGCATGCTCCACCTGAATCTTGAGGGACCACTAATTCATAAGGTGCATGAAGTAGAGAAAGAAATTCTAGACGGAAGAGGGATGGAAATGTGGAAGGGTTGATGGTGGGATTGAGGGTATAGGAACGGAGAGGGCGTGAGATTCAGAGCCTGCATGGTCCACATTCAGGACAGCCGTAACATACCAGCAGGAAAGGAGCTGAAGGAGGCAAAGGCTAACCACAGGACCCTCAGCAGTTGAACAGAGTCCAGGATCTCCACCCACTGGGGCAGGTGTTTCTGGGATAAGAAGCTGCACAGGGAGACCACAGAAGAATCTCTCACAAATGCAAGTCTGATAGAAAACACACTTGGAACCTGACTTGATGGCTGCTGTGTGTCGCCTCCTTTGGGTGGTTCAGCCTCCGTCCCCTCCTTCCCAGCACGAGACTAATTTCTGAAGAGACTTGCCTTGGGAGCCATTTCTCTTTTATTAAGGTGTCACTCGGACAGCATACAAACAGTGCAAGCAGAAACTGCAAACCCCCACACAGAATAAATTATGACATTGTATTTAAAAGTAAACGACAGAAGAAGCTATGCTACCAGTAGGGCCTCCCAGTCCAGTGTCTGGAGATTCAGGAGGTGTTGGCAGCCCTTGAGAGTCCATAAGAAATCTTCTGTGGATATTTGGAGCCAGATGCCCCCCGACAAGCTTATCAATCGAGGCCCAAACTCCTGCACACAAACTCGGACACACACTGATGCACACGTGGGGAGCAGGGGCGGGGGGTGGCCTGTAAACAACCCGCCCAGCAGCAAGCCAAGCAGCCTGGCTGTGCTTTCTCTGTGACTCTGGAGGCAGACAATTCCCTGGCTCTCCTGGGAGATGCAGGTAGGCCCCTGAGGCAGTGAGGCAGGGAAAACCAGTTTTGTTAGCCTGCACTGCAGGGTGAGCACATTGCAGCTCTCCTACACTACCCTTTGCTTTACTGGCTGTGGGCAAGCCCTCCTGGGCCACTCTCCAGTAGTGTGATGTTGGGGAAGGCACCTCTTCTCTAAGCCTCATATTCCCCAGAGTCCTCTTGCTCCCCATCTGTAAAAATGGGAACAAGAGTATCTCCTTTACAGGGCTGTCATAAAGAATTACTCAAATTTGATATTACCAAGTACCATGCCAGACTCTAGGGAAATGTTCAAAACTTGTTTCTTTTCCTGCCTTTTTCTCTCCCATTTCTTTCTTCCTTCCTGTTTCTCTATCTTCTATTTCTGGGTTATGCAGCCATTGGTGGTCATGTAATCGTAATGATGCCCAAAGACCCTCTAGTCGTCCCCAACCTCCACAGAGATGCCGGTGCCTGCTTTCCTGGGACGAAACTGCAGTAGCAGTGGAGCCAAAGGAGTGGGCCACAGGACAGTCTGCACCTCAGATGCCCTCCGAGCCCAGGAGAGAGAAGTCGTGGAGACCTGATAATCTCGGATGGTAGCGAGGTGCCGTACTGATGGGAAGACACAAACACCCAACAGTGGCACAGAGGCAGCTCTGAGCTGAGTCTGGCCAGAAGCTGGGACTTGGGGTGGTGCTTTTTACAACCTTCCGCAGAAACAAAACTGTCCCCTGCCAAGAGTGGGACACTCAGGGATGTAGGAGAGTTATCCTCCTAGCAGGTCTTGCCTACCAAAAGGCCAGCTCGGGTCAGGGCCCACAGGTCTGGTTCTGTAGCAATTTCCCTTCCATCCTTCTATCAGTCCGTCCACTCAGCCATCCACCTGGTATACACGAGAGTTTTGTAGAATGGATGACCAGGACAGAAAACTCTCTGTGCTCATTTAGCACCTTTTATCCGAAGGATTATCTCTGGTGGTCACTCAGCTGGAGTCTTTTCCAGGAATGCTGTGAGGTAGTAACAAGACAGGCAATACCCCTCTTTTGACAGACCAGGAAGTGCTCAAGCGAGCATAGCTGAAACATGGTACGGGCAGGTTAAACACAGGGCACTGGTCTGCTCCCCGAAGGCCAGGACAGGCCTTCCTCCTGTAGGGTCCATGTGGCTTGTCCTGTACTGACCTCTACATCCAGACCTGCTCTGTTGCTTTTCATACCAATGTGGGTTTCAAGTCATCTTTGAAGTTCACAATAGGCTTTGAGTGGGCCCACAGCTTCTCCCAGGAAGCCAGACCCCCAGCAGGCTCGGGGTCTGAGTCTGAGGAGCCACTATCGCTGGAATCAGAGGAACTCTGGAAGCAGATTTCACAGTAGGGCCGGTGGCAATGGCAGAAGAACTCATCTGAGCTGCTGGACTCAGTTTCAAGGTAGCTGCATGGACAGTACAGGGAGGGGCAGCCTGGGGGCCCTGAGGCCTGCTGCTCAGGCAGGTCTGGTGAGGCTCTGGACAGGTGTGAGACAGAGGGACACTGTGCCTGGCCAGGACCAGAAGGCTGGTAAGGAAAGGCTGCACAGTTCCCTCCGGCCCCTTGGGGCTCTGTCTGGCTTTGTTTGCTGCCCTCCAGGGTACGTGGCTTGCCTTGAGAGTCTGGGAGTAGTAAAGACTTCCTGGAAGAGGGTCTTGGTACCCTGGAATCAGAAGTTTGGGGATCCAGGCAAGGGCTGTCCTGATTCTGTGCATTTAGCCTACTGTGTGCCCCAGAAACAGTCCTATTGGCCCGGTGCCCCACATACGAGGGCACAGAGCCCTGGAAGTGTGAGCGAGCTCGCTGCGCTGCCCGCCTCCTTCTCACCATGTATGGGCTAAAGCCCAGCTCCTTGGAGAGCGGCACCTTCTGGGTACTGGAGGCAGCACTGTGCTTCCAGAGCTGGTGGGGGCAAGATGGGGAGGAGGAGAGGGCAGCCTCCGGGCCCACACCCAGATCTTGTAAGACTTCCTGAAGCTTCTCCCTGATCACTGAATTGACCCTTGACAGCCGCTTCGGGGGCTCCTCTGAGTTCTCCCCCTGCCCCTGTCTCTGGGGAACAGGGCCCATTCCACCTGCTGTGAGACTCTGGCAGGGTGCCATGGGTACCTGGTCTCTTCTTTCTGTACCGTGGCTTTGCTTAGCTTGTGGCTTCTGGCTGCAGCCCAAATTTAAATGATCAGAAAAGTCTTTTGAACAAGAAATTTTCTCCTTGTGCCCTGTGGAGGAGCTGGCATCCTTCACAGGCCCCTCCTGGGTTTGTACACTTGAGGAGGGCACTGAGGTACTCTGGGAGTCCTGGGCGGCCACACTGGTGTAATTCTGAGAGTCAGAGGGGCATTCCAAAGGCCCTGGAGCTGCTGGTCCATGGGCAGAGGCTACAGCCAGGTCGTGCTTGCTCCAGGCAGAGGCGGGCAGGACAGCCGCCCCTGGGAAGTCATAGGTGCACTCAGTTGACATCAGCCTCACTAGCTTCTCTTTGGCATTGTTTACTTGTTCCTGCAGGCTTTCAATCATAGCATTTTTCTGTAAAATAAAAGCAAAGCCATCAACAAAAGATGCCACTGAGGGTTTTCACACTGTCTCCCATGGTGGAGAAAGTGAGGCTTCAGAAGACCTTGGTTATTTTTTGAATGCCAGTCCCTCTGTCTAGTAGCTGGTGATCTTAGGCTCTGCAGAGGTATCTCTGTGAGGGCAAATCTCTTGAGCTGGTGTGAGTAAAGGGTTTAGCACAGTAATTGACACCTAGTGCTCAGTAAAGGTTAGCCATGATTTATTGTTGGATGACCTAAGTGCCCCTTTATGTCCCCAGACTGTGTGGCATTGTCTGTGACACGGAGGTCAGAAGAGGCAAAGTATAGCTGTTTGCTGGCTGCTGCAGCTCCCTCTCACCTTTCCTCCGGGCTGGGAAGCTCAGCTCATTCTGCAGAATGCCAGTCCGAATAATATTTAGGATGGCCCGACTCTGGACTTAGCACACTTTTGCAAAATACAGATAAATTTGTGGGGACAAATGAATGAGGAAGCAAGTATTTTGCCTCTTGTTAAACAGACTAGAAAATGGGAAGAGCAGAGAGAAGGATGGAGATTCCTACAAGACTGGAGGCAGCAGCAAGGGTGGGAGGGGGTGGCAATGAGAATCTCAGGTTGGTGCTATCACCCGCCTTGGCTGGGCCTCGGAGATAGGAGGCCAGAGCTACTATTGGCACTATCTGCTGTCCACATCTCCTCAAAAGGGCAGGCACCTGAATTACCCATCAGTGGTGCAGTAGCTGGTTCTCTCACTCAGACCTCGTGTCCACCTTCTGGAATTTCTGACACTCGAAAGGCAGTACAGCGAGGAAGAGAGCGGCTGGTCTTGGGGCAGATGACACACAGCTGAGGGTTTGGGGAAGGTCATAACACGAGCATTGTGTTCTAGAAGGTGCTTGTCCAAATACCCAAATGCTGCCTCTTTGTTGCCATCCTCCTTAGAGGCTGAGATGAGCATTTGGACATCCATTTATTATGCCCTAGAAATAAAAGGATGTTCCCCTTCTTTAGGATATCTGATACAAGTTGCCTGTGGACTGAACCTCTGGCTTCTGCTCAAGTTGATATGGGAGAATTGCCCAGAAGTAAACCCTCAAGGGAGCTGCAACTCAAGTAAACTAGTCCCTCAATAGTCTTCTGGCAGCAACTCCAAGGCAGATCTACTGCTCCCTACTTACAAGCAGGAAGGTGCATTTTCTGGTCATTAGTACTCCCAGCTTATTCCTGGTTTAGTCTCCTTTTATCATCAGGAGAGAGCCCAGGACTAGTAAGTGCTGAATAAGCGGAAAGGCCAGGCAGCTGAGCACCTACCTGCCTGTCCTCCCTCTTCCCTGCTGGCAGAGCAGTCAGGCTGGGTGCTGCCGGGAACTGTGCATGACTCAAGGACTCCCCGGAGCAGGGTGGATGAGTGACAGGGACACATTCACTCAGGCTCTTTGTGGTATCTGGGTTGTGCCAACTATCCCTTTGAGGCGCTCACGGGGTGACTGCAGGCTGCACAGGCAGGCCCCAGCCGTCTTGCTCCCGAAGCCCACCGTGCACATTCGCAGGCTGGCTTCAGGGGGCTCTACTGCCTCAGACTGAGGAGTAAGGACAACTACCCCAGCAATCAAACTCTGGGGGCTGCCTCTTTGTGCCTTATCCACGAATTCCTCTGGGTACACGAAAACAGGATAAACATCAAATTGGGATGAATTTTCTGCCCCCAGCAAACCCGATAGCTGAAGCTCGCTGGCTACAGATTTAGAAAAGTCAGCCTAAACACGAAATTTCCCTTCCTTCAGAAAAGGAAGCAGGGCTCTGTTTTCACATGGCTGCATACTAATTAGAGGCGTGGCATGGGGCACTGCCACTGTGAGACCAAAATCTGGCCTACTAGGGCAGCTGCATTCAAATGAGTTTATTAATCATTGCATTTGATACATCTGGGGTGCAAAATATCCACAGGTGTGATTCATAAGGTGCAGGCCGTAAGGAGAAGTGGAATCACCCTCTTGTTCCTGTGGTTCCGGGAAGAGAAGAGGAGCATGTCCTCTGCTGCAGAGAGGAAGAGGCAGGGTGTCCTGTCTCTGGGAAAGTGCCACCTGCCGGCCTCCATGCAGCCTGGGAAGCCAGTGATAGATGCTGCCCCAAATGACCTCTGGGGGACCCCAGCCATAGGGGCCATGAGAAGGTAGACTGCCCAGATCATGGGAAAGTCAGAGGAGAGCCCCAGGGTGGCAGAGCGCCTGTGTAGGTGGGAACTGCATCCGAGAAGCTGGAGCTGGGGTTTGCATACACATGGAGGCAGGAGAGGTACTCATGTTTATCTACAGGGTAGTGTTGGAGTTGGGGGTTCAGACACGGGAACCCCTCTAGGCCTGCCACAGGGCACTCGGACGAGCTGCTGGTTCTCAGGCCTGTTCTCAGAAAGATGTTCCAGATGGAGGGTGTTGGGTGGAGGCCAGCATTTTACGACCTATGCACCTGCTCCCTCTTAGGCTCTTCCTGTGTAGACTCAAGGCATCTTTTCAGATAAAGCAGATTCAGTCACTGCATGGGAAACAGGGTAGCATGGTGGAAGTACAAAACTCACATCCCAGGTTACCATAAGGGGAAAGAATCAGGCCACTTGGCTGTTCCAACATTAGTTGACTGTGAATAAGAATCATGCTGGCTGTTCTCACCAAGTTTCTGGGCTTCTCTTTAGCTGGGGAAAAAGTGCTTCTTTGAAGACTTCACAGAATATCAAAGGCAATGCTACTCCCTTACCAGACAGGAAGAAAGTAGACTTTGAAATAAGATCCTGAAAGTTTCGTAAACAGTAAGGCAATGGAGAAGTATTACTCTGATGGATAAAAGAGGTCCAGAACTGAGGGTGTGGCGTGAGACAAGAGGGGCCTGGACAGGGCACCTGAGGAGGTTAGCCCCTTCGCTGGCTGTGTTCCTTAGGTCCCCGTCACACCATCCTCTCAAATAGGGACCACGCATACCCACGTGTCAGTTCAGTTACAAAAGAGCATAGTTTTCTAAGTAGCACCTACTCAGGTATGTTCTTTACTGAAAAAATAAGGAATATAATTTAGTGTGAAACATCTAATTCCTCTGGTCCCCGTGCCTCCTTCCTGAGGCAGGGCAGCCCCAGCTTGTCCATGTGCTTTCTTCAAGCCCACACCACACTGCCCGATTTTGGGAGAAGTGCCAACTCTGGCTCAAGAATAGAAGAAAGAAAGGCTGGGGGGTGCCTGGCCCCACTTTGGTGCTACTATGATATCCAGAGGCCCTATTCAACCTTCCTCCCCAACCGTAGATACTTCACTTCTTGACTTTCTGGGTTAATAGGGATGATAAAGATTTCTAGTTAGAACCTGGAAAAGACAGTCAGGGGCCCCAAAAGATATTGGAAATGAGGACAATATATTATGTAAAGAAACATACAGAAGAAGCTAGCATCCACTACCACTCAGGGCTTTTACAAGGCTGTTTCCCCTGCTTGCAGTGCCTTTCCCTGCACTCTTTGCCTGGCCAATTTGTACTTAACCTTAAGCTCTCAGCTCAGAGAGTCTTTTCTGACACTCTAAATTAGGTTTCCTTGCCTTCACCACTCATTATCCTCTCTTATCACTCTGATTTTTTCTTCATAATTCTTAACACAATTTATAATTATTTGTTTACTTGACCAATGTCTATTTCTTCCACTGGACTGTGAGCTTCATGATGGTATGGACTATACTTTTTTGTTCATCAGCACTTAGCACAATGCCTGGCACACATATGTGCAATGAATGAATGAAGTGGGCGAGGGCCAGCAATGGGAGGGCCACTGGGGAGAGGCTGAGGTTTTATCTGCGGCTAAGGGAAGGTGGAGTGGCTAGGAGGTGGGGGATGAGAGGAGAAGAAAGAATGTTAACAATGAGACATCTGGGGCCACTAACGTGTGATGTGTGACGTGTGACTGGAGCTCTTTACAAAGAAACCCCCAGGCAGGGGTCGAGCTTACTTCTGTGAGGAGTCTTTCCATGGAGTTTTTCTCTCCTCTAGCGTGACAATTCTGTTCCTCACCATACTGGGTATGGAAGCTTTTGCTGGGAGTGCTGAAATATTTGGCCATGCGCCTGATTGTTTGGTTTTCCTCTTCAAATGCCTTCCATTGCTTCAGCTGTTAGATAAAAGAACACATGTTATTTATTTAATTACACACCCAGAAACACTCTCTCACTCCTTCTCAAAAACACCAAGGAATGACAGTGTCACTGATCCACATATGTACAAACTATTCTCTCCTCAAATGTCATTTGCTCAGGAAAGTTCATAGTTCATAGACGGTAACGGCAGAAGGCATAGAGAATGTTAAGGTTACATCATTCTAAAAATGCCAAAGGAAGAAGATGACAGGTAGATAAAATAAAAGACTCTCAGCTTAATCCCTCTACCTACCTATTTTGGACTGGTCAAAGAAAACTAGAGTGGAAGTGTACATCGAAAGCCATATTCTCAAGCCAGAGTGTAGGAGATATGACAGGGATAAGCAATCCACACACTGTATATTTCAAATGAAACTGTTTTTAGTTGTATGTAGCTGCTCTTAATTTTTCTCATTTGTTGAGTAATGGTTTACATATTGCTATGGAAAACCCAGTTCCTTGATGGTGGTGTTCTAATCTACGTCAAGAATCAAGGCTCGAACAGATAGAGAACCACAATGTCAGTAAAAAATCAGTCAAAATGATCGCATGTGAGATCGGAGACCTGACCATCTTTTTCCTTGACAAATGAGGAAAGAGTCAGGAGTACGACTTGTCGAGGCCCACACAGCTAGTGCACAGCAGAGCCACAGCTGCACCCAGGGCACCATGCCACACCACATGTCGTCAGCACAGCTGATGGGGAGAGAGAAGGGCAGGGGGCAGGGCTGTCCTAGGGAAAGCTTTTCAGGAGAAGCTGGTTTTGAGAAAAAAAATTCCATGGAAGCACGGGCTGGTTTACTTTAACAGGGACAGAAGTGAGCACAGAACATTCACAGACGGGCATGTTCCCGAGTCTTCAGGATACTGTCTCTACAGGGCGAATGCCAGTGACATGAATGTCCGGGGAGGCCACGGTGCAGAAGTCTTCTCTTGTCCCTTAGGAATTCTAATAATTAGAAGTCCTAGTGGTGTACGCTGGCTACTCTGGCACTCTGGCTCCAGAACTGATGCTGAGGTATCTTGTGGGGACCCTCACAGGGTCTTGGGATTTCCTTGCCATCTCATCAAACAGCTACTAAGCTGTGATATGGAATGTAACCCACATAGGGTGAATCTCAGATAGGATTCTAAATGACCCCACCCATTTCAACCCCATATTCTCACCCAAGTCCTCTTGAGTCCTTCATTGACCTGACCTCTCTGAGCTCTGTAGAAGCATGAGTCCTTGGCAATATCAGGAGTCTGTGAGACCTGTACTGGGTCAGGCACAGGGACTTCCCCTCTCAGACGCCCTTCTTGAAGGCCCCTCGCCAGAGTGCCAACAGCACCCCACCGCACTTAGCACCACAGGGTCCTCTATGGCCCTGGGTGGATGGGGCAGACCTCTAGTGTTGTTCTCTTAGCACGGACCTGACCCTCATGTTGTTGGAGTATCGCTGTGCCCACGTAGGGCCCCTCATTTCCTTAGCAATGCAGTTTTTTCTTTATTCCCTCTGCATGGCTACTGGAGGGATTGGTCAGCACTGGTGTAAGGGCACCTGCAGGTTTTGGTCTCTCTCACTCTAATCTTGCCAAGTGGAGCTAGGGTACCCCTTGACTAAATCTCCCTCCCCCGCCCTAACTTCCCATTTGTCAAGATCCTGGTCCTTGAGCCTTGACCCCTGGTCCCTAACCTTTCTGGAATACAGCTGTAAATGACCCTCAGGTCACAATTTCGGACCTCTGCAGGGCACTTCGTCCAGAAGGACAAGCATATTCTTGCTTTCTCAGCCTCTGGGCTATGTGGGGTGGTGGGCTGAATAATGGCCCCCAAAGATGCTCCCTTCCATCCCTAAACTTGTGAATATGTTACCTTATGTGGCAAAAGGGATTTTGTAAGTGTTACTGAGTTAAGGATTTTGAGATGGGGAGAATATTCTGGATTGTCTATGTGGGCCCAGTGTAATCACAAGGCTTTATAAGAGGGAGACTGGAAGGTTGGAGTCAGAAAGAGATGTGACCGTGGAATTAGAGATCAGAAAGAGAGATTTGAAGGTGCCACACTGCTGTTCTGAAGACAGAGTAAGTGGCTGTGAGTCAAAAATGGAGGATACTCATGGAATCTGGAAAAAGCATGGAAAAGGATTCTTGCTCCCCTAGAGCCTTCAGAAGGAACAGAGACCAACTAACAGCCTGACCTTATCAAATAAGACCCGTGTCAGACTTCTAACCTCTGGAACTGTAAGATAATAATAAATCTATATTGTTTAAGCCATTCAATTTGTGGTAAACTTTATAGTAGCAATAGGAAATAGTGGGTTTAAATCTCAAGTCTTTACCAGGATATCCCCGAGGCCTTTGGAAGTTCACCCTCTGTGCCTCTCTTACCTCCTGCCACTCTCCCTTTGTTTCAGTTTGTGCTTCCAGAAGTTGCAAAGACCTGTAGTGCTCTGAACATACACCATTCTCTTTTACACCGCTCTGCTGATGCTCGTGGTGATTCCCCATCTGAAATCCACCCATTGCCCTTCATCAACCTGCTCAATGAACTCACTCCTCCTTCAAGACTGGGCCCAAGGACTCCTTTTCCTGAGTAAGTGTCACCGAGTTCCCAGACGGACTGAGCACCCCTTCCTCAGCAACGTGTAACGCGCCTTCCTCAAACACTTACCACATGTATTACTATTCCTTTCATCTGCTCCCAAACAGACTTCGAGGTGGGGCCATGGGTTTAACTGCATGCTCCCAGCAGTTAATAAGTGGATGAATGAATACATGAACAAATGTTACATTCTGGTATAAACATGTAGGCATTTCCTGAAGGCCTGCGTAGCAAGCTGCTGGATCCATGTGCCTCTTCAGCAATCCTGCATGTCACCCAGCTATCCAGTGCCGCCCAGCTGCCCTGGGGATCCTGTGCCTTTGCCTTCAGAAGCCCCTCCCATCACTGTGCAGCCGGAAGGTTCAGTAGCAGAAGACAGCCCACCTCCCTGTTCCTTCCCCTCCCTTCCCCTCTCATGGAGCTCTCCAAATCCAAGTTTTCTCAGTGGTCCTACTCTTCTGGGGATACACAGTACAGGTCTCCAGGGAGAATCTTTCCCTTACCAAAGGGCACGGAGCCAGAGGGGAAAATCAATTCAGGGGTGCCTAAAAAACTGACAAACCTCTGTCACTTTTATATTTTGAAAAATAATTTGCCTCCTAAACCTAAAATACAATCAACTATACAATATATTTTTTAGTATTAGATCATGGTCAGTTTAAAGAGGCGAAAAAGCAGGAGACAGAAAACAGAAGAAGAAAGGTAGACTAAGAGACAGGAAGCTCAAGGCAGCTAGGAGGAAAAGGGGGATTGAGACAGCGGGAAAGAGAAAGGCCAACACTGCCCGTCTGTGCCCATCTGCCCATCTGCCCAGTTCTGGATCCCCTAATTATTCCATTTCTGCCCTGCTTCCACAAACCAAGTGCTCATTGCTTAGCAAGCCTGGAAGTCAGATTTTAAGCTGAACTTCATTTCATCCTGCATTTTGATGCCTTTATGCAGATGGGAGCGTGCCTAGATATCACCACTGATGGTTCAAACACCAAGGATGGGGAGTCATGCCTCTGAGGCTTAGGATGCAAGGGGGACAGAGCCAAGTGTGAAGAGAGGAGATATAAGTAGGACCACATCATGGAGGCTGGTGATTCACTCAGTTTTCAGACAGACATCTTGTTTCCGATCAGGAAGGCTTTCCTCTGATTGCTCCTTGGTGATTTCTTTTGTCCCATATTACCTTGTTCCATTTCAGAGACTCCTTAATTAGCTCTAAATTATATCCCTAGATCTGTTCTCCATACTTTCTTGTCTAGTCTCTCATTTTTTATGTCTCCTTGAATTAATTCACTAATTCAGGAATTTGCCATGTTTAATTGCCTATTCAGTGCTTCTACAGGGACATTGAATTTAACATAATATTTTTCACCCTTATTCAATATTTCATGATCTGTGATTATGTCCTTTCCATGATGAGTCACTTTAGCAGAAGAGAGGCAATATCCCTTGAATCCTATTGACAAGATAAATCAGGTATCTTTTAAAAAACTTCTATTTTACTTCAGAGGAAGGCAGCTTCTCCAAATCTTCAGAACTTTGTGGGCCTCTTCTTGTGGACTGCAGAAACTCTTCATAGGCCCTTTCTCCCTGAATTTATAGTTTTACATGGGAAGACCTATAGTTTCTTAGTATAGTAAATATACTCTCTTGGCTTTTCCCTCATGGTCACAAGATGGTTGCCATCTCTCCAGACATCACAAACATTCACAGTTAGTAAAAAGGTAGAAGAGGTGATGCCAGCCACATCATTAGCTTTTTCAGGAAAGCAAAAGCTTTCTCAGAACTTCCCAGAAAACCTTTAGTGTTCAAAACTGTGTCACATGGGCACCCCTAACTATAACGGAGGCTGACAAGGCAAGTATTTGGCTCTTTCAGCCTATCTAGTGGAGGCAAGCCAGGAAGAGCAAGGTTGGCAATGGCTTGATGGGTCAGCAATCAACAATGTTGGCCCCAGGGTCTAAATAGGTGGACTACTTGAAGGCTCTCCACCAAATCCACTTCCCCATCTCCCAGGGAGGGGCAGCCCTTTGCTGCTACATCCCAGACAAATAAGCCTCAGCTTTCATGGCTTCTTTAAATCCAGTTCTTACAATTGTATGATTCAGCAAAGATTCCTCTAGTTTCTAGCCCAGATGCAATACCCAGCATTGGGTCTTTGTGTTCCTGCCACAGATTTGTCCATATTTGTTTATTCTGTTGGGTATTTTAATGAGCATTTATGAAAAGGAAAAACAGGTAAAGGGCCTATGCCTGTGTCACACTGTGCCCCCAAAGTGAACTCCTCCTGTTCCTCAGCCAACACTTTTAATTACTGATTAGCCCCCTCTATTCGTAGTCAACCAGAAGCCGCAATGGGATCAGGATGGGATCTTGGGGGAGCAGTAGGAAGAGGGAGGCCTTGCGGGGGAGAAAAAGTGAACTAGAAGGGAAATAGGACAAGTGCCTAATGTGGACATCTGTGGTTCAGTGGTAGCCTCTGGCACACCATGAATAATTTAATATCACTTTCCTTTCAGAGCCTATGGATTCCTCTGCCTTCCCTCTGACTCCTTTTCTTTTACTTTGCTTTCTGGGTATTTCTAGTACTTTCCTCTCACATTTATTTTTTTATTGTCCATACTACAAAACATATTTTTATTAAGGTTTTATGTCTCTTTATTGGAAAAGGAGAGAAATGTTCTATACTTTCCTCTGATAAAAGAAAGGAAACACCAGGGTATAGGAAAAGCATTTTAAACTACATGAAGTTCCCTATGAGTTCTTCCCTGTGGATTTGCAATCCCAAATAGGAAAGAAATAAAGGTTCCTCATTCCCAGGCTAGTGAAGGACATTTCTGAGGGGCAGCCCACCAGGGAGGAAAATGGGCTGCTGCTTGGCCACTCAGCCTGCCCCCCTTACTGACCAGGAGCACAGCTGTCCTTTCTTAGGAAAGCGACAAGGGAAGAAAAGAGGGAGCCGGTTCACTAGGAACCTACCTTCCTTCGGACTCTCCAATAAATACTACCCAAAAGTCTTCGTGAAAACATGAGCAAATATTTATCATGCCCAGTGAAGCCCCTGGAGTGAGGAAGAGGATGGGCTCCATCAAATTCTCCCTGGGGCATACCTGGGGAATGAAGATGAAGCAGTTGATTGTGGTTGTGCAAACAAAGATGCCTCCAGACGTGAGTCCAAAGACCAGGTTGGGCCAGGTGTGCAAGTATCTAGTAACCACAAAAAGAAGCCCAGCAGCCAGCACCACGAGGTTGACCCCAACCATGATGGTTAAAGACTGATTCACAGGAGGGGAGCTGACGTGGTCCGTCAGGCCAGCCAGGTAGGCACCATACAGCAGCAGCAGGCCCTGGAGGCAAGAAGAGAACGAGAAGTGAAGTAACAGGTTGGAGTCAAAGAGCAGTAGGGATGGGGCCAATTTCCTCACCTGTAAAATAGGGACAAAAACACTGACCTTAAAGAATTTGCTAAGATGGTGCATGGGAGGCCCTTGGGGTGCCCCCTTATACCTGGGATGTGCTTAAGGAACGTTATTTTCCTCTCTTTTCCTGAGAATTAGTTTATGGCAGGTCAACAAATCGGCCATCAGACAGAACTTTGCCGGGATGAGGGACAGGATGGTGTGGATGGGTGGGAGCCCTGCAGAAAGGGCTGCCAGGCAGTGGGCACACGGGCTGGGGGCGGTGAGCGCTACTGCCGCTGTTGTGTGGCTTTGCGCAGCACAGACCTGAGGGGCACGTGGAAGCTGAAACAGTCTGAAGATGGGCTCTTTCTTCTAAGTTTCCCAAAGGCACCACCTGCTTGCCAAGCCCTGCACCTGCAAGACTGCCTCTGTCTAGAAGGGATGCCTTTTTCTGATTTACACAGAGGACCTCTACAGACTGGCTGTGGCTCTGTGCCAGAGGTTGTTTATGGAAGACAGAAAAAGAGGAGAACAAAGGCAGGCTGGGTCCTGGGCAAGACTGGGGCTGGGCACGGGCAGCAAAGGCTCCATCCACACCCTCCACCCTCTTTGTGACTCTCCCTGCCCCCATCGTCAGGAACCCACAGCTCTATTCTTCCCTTTTTCCCGTGAATATAAACCTGCTCTCAGATATCTATTGTACAACAGAGAACTTGACTCCCAGCACCTTAGAGGGCTGCTCTCCTAGAAGAAGCTGCATTTAAACAGTAATCAAAGCTTTAACCAGTAATATAAAATATATAGATTGAACATAAATTTGCCTGATTCTGTGCAAAGTGTCATGTTAGGTGTAGGGCAGGCAATGGTGCAAAAAGGAGTAAGCCATGGTCCTGGCTTTCATAGAGCTCAGTTTGCTAGGGAAATGCAAGGCACACAAGTGTCCATGTTGTATGACAGAATGTGAAGATGCCATAAGGGATGAGGTGGAGGTAGGGGGCATGGGGACTCAGAGGGAGAACTGATAATCAAAGTAAATATAAGCAGGGTACCTGCCAGTACATAACCTAACTCCACCTGCAGGGATGGTCCTAAAGATTATTTTTTGGAGGACTGGCTGTGCCTACAGTGAAGGAATCAGCACAACAGAGATGTCTTCTGGGTGCTGCTAATGCCCAGTGTCCCAAAAGAGGCCTGAGGACCAAACATGGCCACCCCAAGATCTTCAATGACTAGAAGACACATAAGTCAGGCCAGTGGGACCTGACTTTTGGGTAACTGATGCTATCAGGTGGCATTTGGCAGAATATTGGATGATTAGTAATTTAATAGAGGTAAATGAAATTAATTCTATGATTTTTAAATGTTCAAATATGATCCTATTAAAATGTTTTCACTCCATTAAAGTCCTTTTCAAAAGGGGATTGAGCATGAATAAAGCCTTTATGTATCCAGGACTCGTGTTTGAGTGACACATATCCAATATGTGTATGTCATTCACCTTCACTGCTGAGCAGTGTGGGATGGGGGTACTTGACAGGCTCAGGCAGGGGGTCCTTGAACTGAATGTGGAGATTTGGGTTCTCTTCATGACTGCATGTTGCCCAGGGAGCCGACAGGGGTCTGGCTCAGGCAGTTTCCTGAAACTCGGTACTCTTTTCCCCTTTTCTTTCTTTGTCCTTCAGAAAGATATTACAGTGAAATAAAATGGGAATGGTTTTATATAAGAGGCAGTGGTGAAAATAAATCAAGTTGAGCTGCAGAGTGAGCTGCCGCAGGGTTAGTGCTGAGTCTCTGTTCTGGGAGGACATGCTCTCCTGCAGGGACCAGACGAGCCACAGAGGCACTTTCCAGAGCTGTCCAGGGCACCAGGGGAAGATTAATACTAACAATAGCTAACATTTTATCGAGCTCTTCCTATGGGCCAGGAGTGGTTGAAATTCTAAACATGCACTAACATGCATTGAAATTCAGAACAGTTCTGAGAGGATGTTATCATCACCTCTATTTTACATGTGTGGGAACTTAAGCTCAGATAAGTTAGATGAGGCTCAGAGTCAGCTAGGAACTCACTTAATCAGAGTTCAAACCCTGCTATATTTGGAAGCTCATTTTCTTAACTATTAGCAAGAAACTAGAGATCAAGAGCTGCTCATTTTCTAGTGTTTCTATTTAAGCATATTTCTACTAAGCTGCACATAGTTAAACAGCAGCAGTTCCCTGTCCCAGTCCTGTGCCTCCCCAGGCCAATTCTCAGAGCAATCACTTGAACACTTTCCTAGTAGTGAAGTGAGTAAAGTTTACCTTTAAAGACCATGTATTTCTTTTCTTTCTTTTTTTAATTAAAGTATCACTGATATACAATCTTATGATGGTTTCACATAAACAACATTGTGGTTTCAATATTCACCCTTATCAAGTCCTCACTCCCTCTATTGCGATAGACACCATGTATTTCTACAAAAACTTCTCTTCTGCTAGCAATCAGTTAACCAGGCCTTTTTGTCCTTATAGTCAACAAGGAACCTCTTGCCACACAGGGCTTGACCTGTTCATTGAAATAAGCCTGCCCTACACCCCTCATAGCCAGATTCTCTGTCCCACAAAGATGAGAACCAGCTAATAGGATACTTGGTTCTAAGAACTTGCCTTGGTGTTCTGGATAGGTATCCTATGCCCTCTGGAAATAATCCTACTTTTGCCATCTAACAGAGACAGATGAAGCTAATAAAGAGAGATTCTGGGTAGTATGGGGACACTCTGAGGCAGCCAGAACTACTCAAAGCACACCCTGATGTGGCCATCTGTCTTAGGGCCAGCCTTGCTTCCAGCCAGAGCCAGAAAGATTAGTGAATGGAAGGCAGCAGGATGCCCTGACCCAAATCTAAAGACACAAGATATAATAAAGGCACTTAAGGGAACAAATTAAGCTGGAGAGATTGGCTCCTCATAATTCCCCGTGCAGGGAGTTAGGAAGGAAACTGGTATTGCCAAATCAATTAAAAAACCAGACCAAGAAATGGGAGAAACAGTGGGTGAATTACACATGATTTGCGGGAGGACTAAATGAGAGAGTCCAAAGAGTTGGGAATGTGATTCTCAAAACAAAAAAAAGTAGAGAAATAATAAGGGTCACGCCTTTGAGATTTATGCATCAACACAGGTCTCCTCTGACTTCAAGATTCTTTGCCGATACCACCTCATTAATTCCAGTAACTCCCTCTTCATATCCATCTTGTTGGCGACAGATAAACTGTATCTCAAGGAGATGTAGTTACCAACCTTGCACACCAAAATAAGAGCAATCCAGACATCAGCATACCGGGAGGCACAGAAGTGTGTGCTGGTCAGAGAGCAGGACACATCTCTCCCTGCCACCTAGAAGGGACACAGAGTTAGGACTGAGTGCTCCTGTGATTACCAGGAACTCACAGCAGATCTTGTGCACATCCATCCAGAGGAGCATGAACACCTCTACAGCACTTGTAACTTCCCCCTTCACAGGTAAAAATTGTAACATTTAATTGACTTCATTAGAATCTAAATGAGAGTGGCTCTGAGTTGAAGAAAAAGATGATAAAGCTGGCTGGTATGTGGACATTGGGTAGTGGCAGGGCTTATTCCTCAGTTATGCGTTTTGTGGTCATAGTGATTTAAATTAGTGTGTCAGCAAAATTACAAATTATTTCACAGCATGTTTCTGCTATTTGTTAGCAGGTGAAGCTGTAAATATTCAATCTGCAATGTCAAGATTCCACTGCATTCCTTGGCCCTTTGTGAGGCTGGAGACAAAAAAATATAATACTTTATATTCACTGAACACTATGTACAGGGCACAGGTGAGTCCTTTAACTGCCTTGTTTCACTTAATCTTTACCACAGCCCTATGAAATTGGTAATAATATTATCTCCATTTTACCAGTAGAAGAAATAGGGACTTAGGCTAAATGACTTTCCCAAGGCAACATGGCTGATACGTGGTAGGGCTGAGAGGTTGACTGACTCTAAAGACCACCTCAAAATACTACCTTTACCTCTCAACACTTAGGGAAAAGCAACTTCCTGTAGCTGAAAATACTCATTATTGACAATCTGGAAGCAAAGATAATTGTCAGGCGGATTCTAGTGTGCTGACATCTCAGGGGATGCTCTTGGAAAGGGACAGTACAAGGGGCTGCGCACCCTACAGACAAAGGGGAAGGTATTCACAACAGCCACAGCTCCTGGCACTCCCTCCTCTTTGGGTTGTTGATCTCTTGTTGGGGAAATGACCACACAGTGAATACTGCTGGGAGAGTAAGCCCCATTACACACAGAAACCAGTTGAGGAACCATATTCTCCAAGGGTTGGGCCCCTCACCGTCATACTGACACTGAGAATCTGGAGGCACTGGATGGGATCAGTCAGCACCCACGTCATGAGCAGGATCACATCAGCTATCACAAGGGCTGCCACCAACCCCAGTAGCTGCAGGTCTTTGATTATCTGCAAAAGAATCAAGGTTACAATTTTCCTTTGCTTGCTGGCTCTGTTACACAGAGGTTAGAGTGTCCTATGTGCTCTGAACTAAAGGCTCCAGAATAAGCCCTCCCAGTGCACTTCAAATCTGGCCATCAAAAATGAAACAACACTAAACATGTGCAATGATTTCTATGTTTGTATCATCATCACAATGAAACATTTCCATTTGTTTATCTTTTCCTTGTCTTACCTTTTTCCACAGAGTCAAGGGGTCTTATAAAATAAACACACTATTATTTCCAGATATGTTTATACAAGCACATAGAGATATGGAAGTTTTCACAAAAAACTGTTAACAACCATTAACCTGAATGGTGGGATTGAGAGATAAGGGTGGTGGAGGAGAGATGACTAGCAATTTATCTGTACATATATGAAGCATTTGACAATATAAATAGGATGTGTTACTTCCATGAGTCCAAAAATAAATAAAGAAACATGTTCTGTGACAGGATAAAAACTTAAAAAATATTAGGGAAAAGAGAAAATAAGGAGAAATATGATGAAAGCTCAGCTGAGGAGAGTACATAGCATTCATGAATTGAGGCATAAATGTAGATCTGAGTTTTTGAAAACCAATGAAAAGAAGGAAGCACAACTGGTTATATAATTCATGATGCGTGTAAGATAAAAACAAGTTAGTTGCTTAATCAAAGTGCTCAAAAACAGTAATGATGAGAAAAAGCTTCAAATCAACCAACAAAAAGAAAGACACAAAGTGAGTAGAAACAAAGATAAGGAGGAAAACTGATTTCTCATCAGATAGAAGGCCAAGTAAGAAAACAGTAGAGGAAATCTTCAAAATACTGAAGGAAGAAAAGAAAACCTCAACTTAGAATTCCATATCCAGCAAAAATATCTTTCAAACACAAAGGTGAAATAAAGGCTTTTTCAGATAAACAAAAGCATAAGGAATTCTATTGTACAAGAATTAGCACATCTGCATGACAATGTTAGATATCCTTGAAACAAAAGGAAAATGATAGAAACATGGAGTTATACAAGGAAATTAAGAGCTCTGGAAATGTTAGTTTCACAGAAAACTATATGATCGATTTTTATTATTTAAATATCTTTAAAATTTAACTGATTGTTTAAATAAAAATAGCAACAATTATATGGAAATTATAATGTACTTAAAAGTAAAAACAGTAACACAAAGATTGGGAAGGGAAAGATGGAAGCATACTATTGTAAGGTAACTATACTACATGTGAACGCCAATCATACAATTATACACAAACTTTACCAGGAATTGAAGAGGAGGGAATACTTCCCAATTCATTCTACAAGGCCAGCATTACTAAAACTAGAAAAAGATATTCAAGAAAAATAAAACAAAAAAAAACTACAGAGCAACATCCCTTAAAAACATAAATGCCACGTTATAAGCAAAATTTTATGAAAGTGAATCCAACAATATAAGGAGAGGATAATACAACATGACCAACTGGAGTTTGTCCTAGGAATGCAAGGTTAGTTACATCCTAAAATCATTTGATGTAATTCACCATGTGAACAAACTAAAAGAGAAAAAACATGATCAACAGACACAGAAAAAGCACTTGAAAAAACCCAACATCAATTCTTCATAAAAAACCCTCAGCAAAATAATTATATAAAGGAACTTCTCAACTAGATAACGTGCACCTACAGTAAAACTACAGTTAACATCATACTTAGTTTTGAAGGACTTAATGTGTTCCTTATAAGATCAAGAAAAACTAAAGAATGTCTTCTCTCAGTGCTTCTGTTCAACACTGTACTCGTGCTTCTAGCCAGTGCCATCATACAAGAGACTGTCTTTATTCACAGATGACATGATCATTTATGCACAAAATCTGACGGAATCTACAAAAAAGCTTCTAGAACCAAAAAGTAATTTAGCAAGGTTGCAGCATACAAGATCAACACAAAAAAATTGATTATATTTCCACATACTAGCAACAAAAAATTGAAAAGTGAAATAAAAAGTCATAACATGTATAATAGCATAAAAATAAAATACTTAGGAATAAATCTGATAAAAGGTGTGAAGGACCTACAATGAAAACTAAAAAAATTGCTGGGAGACATTAGAAAAGGCCTAAATAAATGAAGAAATACACTGTGTTCATGAATTAAAAGACAAAACATTGTTAAGAAGTCAATGGTCTAAATTTGATCTATGGACTCAATCTCAATAAAAATCCCAGGAGAAATCGCAGAAGTTGGCAACCTCATTAAAAAAATTCAAAGGACCTAGATTAGCCAAACAACATTAAAACAGAAGAAAAAAATTAGAGAACTAACACTCCTAATTCAAGACTTAATATAAACCTATAATAATCAAGATAATATGGTATTGATATCAAAATAAGCAAATACATCATGAGACAGAATAGAGTCCAGAAACAGATCCATACATATATGGACAAGTGATTTTCAGCAAAGGTGCAAAGGTAATGCAGTGAAGAAAGGACAGACTTTTCAACAAATGGTGCTGGAACAACTGGATATCCATATGTAAAAATATGAACTTTGAACCATATATCACATCATATTCCAAAATTAACTCAAAATGGATCATAGGCTTAAATATAAAAACTAAAACTCTAAAATTTCTAGAAGTAAACCCAGAAGAAAAACCTTTTGGGGCAAAAAGACATATGCACCTTATGTTTATTGCAGCACTTTTTACAATAGCCAAGATATGAAAGCAACCTAAGTGTCCATCAGTAGATGAATGGATAAAGAAGAGGTGGAACATATACACAATGGAATACTATTCGGCCATAAGAAAGAAACAAATCCTACCATTTGCAACCACATGGATGGAGCTGGAGGACATTATGCTCAGTGAAATAAGCCAGGCAGAGAAAGACAAGTGCCAAGCGATTTCCCTCATTTGTAGAGTATGACAATGAAGCAAAACTGAAGGAACAAAATAGCAGCAGACTCAGAGAATCCAAGAAGGAACAAGTGGTCACCAAATGGGGAGGGGTGTGAGAGGGTAGGTCGGGAGGGAGGGAGAAGGGGATTAAGGGGTATCATGTTTAGTACACATGGTGTGGGGGGGTCATGGGGAAAACAGTGTAGCACAGAGAAAACACATAGTGGATCTGTGGCATCTTGCTGCACTGATGGACAGTGACTACATTGGGGTATGGGTGGGGACTTGATAATATGGGTAAATGTAGTAACCACATTGATTGTCTTTTCATGTGAAACCTTCACAAGAGTGTATACCAATTATGTCTTAATAAAAAAAATATTTAAAAAACCCATTTGGGGCATTAGGTTAGGCAAAAGTTTCTTAGATCTGATACAAAAAACATGATCTATAAAAGAATAAATTGGTAAATTGGACTTCATTCAAATTAGAAATGTCTTCTCTTTGAAAGACACTCTTAAGCAAATGAAAAGAAAAGGCACAAACCAGAAGAAAATCTTTGCAAATCATATATCTGATGAAGGATTTGTGTCCAGAATACAATAACTCTCAAAACTCAATAATAAAAAGCCAAACAACTAAATCAAAAAAAAAAATGGGCGAAAGATTTGAGCAGATACTTCACCAAAGATACACGGATGTCAAAATATGCATGAGAAAAGATGCTCAGCATTGTGTCAGAGAAATGCAAATTAAACCACAATGAGACACTACTACATATTCTTATTAGAATGGTGAAGAAAAAGACCAACCTAGTCAAATGCTGGAAAGGATGTGGAGGAAAAGGAATCTCATACAATGCTGGTGGGAATATAATATGGTACAACCACTCAACCACTTTGGAAAACAGGCAATTATCTTAAAAAGTGAAAAATACACCTACCATAGGATCCAACCATTCTACTCTTAGGTTTGTATCCAGGAGAAACGAAGGTATATACCTGCACAAAGACTTCTACATGAATATTCACGCAGTTTTATTATTAATAGCCCCAAACTGGAAACAAACCCAAACATCCATCAACCATTGAACAGATAAATGAACTACAGCATGTCTACATATTGGAATATTACTCAGCAAAAACGAGAAAAGAACCATTGATGTATGCAACAGTATGGAAAAATCTCAAAAAATAATTATGCCAAGTAAAAGAAGACAGCTTTAAAAAAATAGTACCTACTACATTATTCCATGTATATAAAACTCTGGAAAAGCAAACCAATTTATAGTGACAGAAAATAGATCAATGGTTGCCTGGAGACAGGGATGGAGGGACGTAAGGGTTGGACAGGAGAGAGAGAGAACAATGGTGCATGAGGAAAATTTGTGGATGATATACCACTTTTCGTGGGTGAATTCATACGCCAAAACTTATCAAATCATACACTTTAAATATGTGCAGTTCATTGCATGTCAATTATGCCTCAGTAAAGCTACTTTTAAAGAAGAAATCAGTGTTCCAGAGGAAGGGTTGAACTTCTTGCCCTTTAGGCAATCTTTTTCATATGTATGGTTACTTACAGCTGAGCTTTTGATAAATATTCACCATGATTAAATAACATTTGCTAAGAACAACAACAACAGCAATCATTCCAGAGAAGTAAACTCCAACTGTCTGGGCAGGGTCATAGCCGCAGAATCTGATGATTGGGCTTTGAGGCTTGGGCAGCTCCACCAGGCAAATGATAAAATGGGGAATGTGGTTAAGATGACGTCTGGTGTCAGGGACATGTAGGTGACCTGGCTGCCACAGAGCTTCTGACTGATTTTATGTGCTGAATGGGCATCCTCTTCCCTGCTCACTGTGCCAGGCCCATCCTTCTTAGTGCAGAGCATGGTCTTCCACATGAAAAAGAACTGGGCTAGTGAAGGAAAGCTCTGCTTACTTGCTACAGCTTCTCTGCAATCACCCTCCCTCCCTCCACTTGCAGCCTATGCCAGTGCCAAGCAACAGTCTCTCTGGACATCTTGTTCTTCCTTGTACTGGTGCCAGATATTGGCCAGCTCACACATATCTAGAGCAGTAGAGGTGTATAGGAAGCGGACCCTTTGTTCAAAGACCCCTTTCCGAACAGCACTGATGTAAGCCTTCCAGGCTTGGGGGCCGATAAGGCCACATGCCTCCAGGGTTTGAAATGAGGAGCATGAACTCCAGGTTGTCATAAAAAGGCCAGACCCAGTAATCTAGCACAAGCTGGTCTAGCTTTTAAGTAACAGTGAAGGTGCTCTCCACCATCAAGCGGTGCGTACTTGTTGCATACTCACCACTCTCTTGTCCGGGACCCTCTGGGTAAACACCTTGTAGAGTCGCCAGCTCTTTCCCAGAATAGGGCCAAACACAAGGGAAGTCCCAATGCATAGCATGGACAATCTGATCTATGGGTGGAAAGGGGCAGAAGCAAGAGGCATGAGAGAAACCTTTGTCATTCTCCACATACATTCTGATCTGCAAAGCCTCAGTCTATAGAGGTGGGAGGCAGAAGGTGGACCAGGGATTGCCTCTGAAAGCGTCCATACTAATTAAGATAAAGGTAATCGCCACCCCAGGAACAGCTGACTTAAAAAGTTATCAAAAGTTGGGCATATATTTAAAACAAAATTTTAAGACTTCACCTACCTGAATGATAGTTTCCAGTGAGCTTCTCACTACAGCATCTCGATCTTGAGTCCCAAAGAGGTAAACACTACTGTAAGTCAGACAGCTGCCCAGTAAGGTCACAATATTCAGATTGGGACTGGACATCTTCACAATCCTAGAGGGAATCAGGAAGAAAGACACTTACAGTCATGGTGCTTTGCCCTGGCAATGGACAGAGTTTCCCTACCAGCAGAATCTCCAGTGTAAACTCAAGAGTGAAGGGTCACTGGCAAGAAACTATTTTAAGGCTCTGTAAAAAATGTTATGACGTATTTAAGTCAATTTTTTTAAGTTTACTATATGTTTTATTTTTATTTTTATTTTTTATTTATTTTTTTGAGAGGGCATCTCTCATATTTATTGATCAAATGGTTGTTAACAACAATAAAATTCTGTATAGGGGACTCAATGCACAATCATTAATCAACCCAAGCCTAATTCTCAACAGTCTCCAATCTTCTGAAGCATAACGAACAAGTTCTTACATGGTGAACAAGTTCTTACATGGTGAACAGTGCAAGGGCAGTCATATCACAGAAACTTTCGGTTTCGATCATACATCATGAACTATAAACAATCAGGTCAAATATTATTCATTTGATTTTTATACTTGATTTATATGTGAATCCCACANTTTTTTTTAATAAAATGCTGAAGTGGTAGGTAGATGCAAGATAAAGGTAGAAAACATAATTTAGTGTATTTAAGCCTATTTTTAAAAGGAATCAAATTCTGGCACTTCTTGTTTGTATAACTCCAAGTCTTTTAAAAGAAGGCCATCTTCTAAAAACAGGTGGTATCAGAGAAGAATTAGGATTTTTTCCATGAAATTTATGGTTGCTTAGAGACTGCTCTATGCAGCCTAGTGAATAAATAACTAGCAGGTAGATACCTCAAGAAATATAGTTTGGAGCCTTTATTTGATATGTAAAATTATTTTCCTCTCTCTGTTTGACCAAGAGAGAAACAGGAAGTAAGGACGGAAAGGGGAAACTAAGGAAAGGACTTTTGTCAAGCAGTTTTAAATGACCTTATAGCGCAATTCAAAGATTAGAAGGAGGTGTGGACACTCAGGGTCTCAGACAAACCCTGGGCACCAACAGCGTCTCAGGACAAGGTGGAAATGTGTGAATTGGTTAATATGAGGGGAAAACTGGGCTTACTCTGGATAGTGACCAAAAACAATTAAGAAGAAATGTAATTGTATTTAAGAGTTTTAGTCTAGAGTGTATTCTACCTAAATGCACTATTTATACTAATAGTCATTTGATAACTATACTTAGTTATACTTTTATTTTTAAGTAATAACCGAGGGGGTAAAGCATTCTTATCTATGTACCTGGATTTCCTGGCTGACCACCTTAAAGGCCAGAGCCAGGGCAAACCGGGTACTTAGCGCAGCTTATTTTAATGACAGGCAAAGCACCCTGGAGGCATTGAACAGTTTGGCAGTACTAGACTGCAAACATCCTAACCACCATCAGCCCAGCTTGATTACCTCGTGGCTGGCAGCATAATTACGACCCCCCCCCTCCCACACACACACACAAGCACACCAAACCACTGGCCCAGGACTCAGGCCCCAAGTATATAGGCCTATGAATCCAGCTGGGCTTTTAGCTTGTTTTGGAGCAAAAACCTTGATTTTTTTCCTTCCTCTTAAAGTGAGAACAACTTTAATGTATTCCCCTTGTAAAATGGGGATAATAATAGTACATCCCTCCAGTCAAAGAGTTGTGAGGATTCAACAAGAGAATATAGCAAAGGATGTGGCACAGAGCCCGTCACATAGTAAGCATGTTGCCAACATTAGCTGATGATACTATTAATCTTGCCATCTTTCTGCTTTAGAAACCTAAGAATCACCTTTTCCTTCTCCTGTTCCTTCATCATCTCTACCAAGTCAACTGCCAATTTTTTTTACTTATTTCAAAATCTCTCTGAGTTGTCCCTCACTCTCCATTCCTGCTCCTACTACATTCATACAAGATACAGTTATATTAGAAGCTATGGAACCAGAGTCAGACAGAAATCTGGGCTCTGCCAATCACCACTGTGTAACTCTGGGCCAGTCATTTAAATACTCTAGGTTCCTGTTTCATTATCTGTGAAATGAAGATGATATTATCTTTCTGTAACCACCCCACAGGTTATTGCAAAGACCAAATGGGGTGTGTGCCAAAACTCTTTGAAAACTCTAAGGTGATGCAAAAAGATTAATTTTTAGATTTTTAATGTAAACTTCAGTCCTAACACCATTTTTTGTCCTAATGCATCCTGTATATCACTTTCCTTTCAGGCTTTTTCTTAAAATTCCACCTTCATAACTTAACAAGAAAGCTACATGCATAAAGAACAATTTTGTTTATCTTAAGTCTCCTGCATCCAAATTTAAGAGCTAGCCCTATCCTACCCATCCATGTATTCATTCAGGTTTGCCTCCTCAGTCACCATGTCTTCAAATTGTGGACTTAGGGAGAGAGAGATTTCCTAGTTTCGTTATCTCTTCCCATAAGAAGAGGAAATATGTGTTGCATATTGAGTACTGAAATAAGAACAACGCCAACCAGCAGCTTCACAGTGATTTAAGAAAAGCACTACATTAGAGAGACCAGTGCTGATGCTCACTTAGAAAAGAGGGCACCACTGACCTGGGACTGGCCACTTGGGGCAGTCAGAAGCTTGGGGAGTGGTACAATTGGGTAGACTCCTGCAAGACCAGTAACGCAGGCTGTTCTCCCCATGGCCTCTCACAAGCTCCTGGGCACAAGTCATGAGGATGTGATGAAGATTCCTCAGGAAGCCACAGCCCGCTTGCACAGCTACACATCTGTGTTGTCTAGAGCACTGATGGGTGGGTTTCTTAATTCTTCTCTGGACCCATTTTATTTGAACACCACTGTATGATCAGAGCCCTTTATGTAATTCAGTACTGCATGAAATCCTGATTTAGAATTCTACCCCCTCCTGACTTAGTTAGGAGGAACTTAATTTAGTTTTTGACAAAATATATTACATAGTACTCGCATCTCAGAAGTTGATGCAAATTCGTTTTTCAAATGGACAAGTTGTGTTATGGATTTATATAGGTATATTTCAACATTTTTCATTAAAAATTCTACTGAAGAGGCGGAGCCAAGATGGCAGCGTGAGTAGAGCAGTGGAAATCTCCTCCCAAAAACACATAGAGCTATAAAAATATAACAAAGAAAAATCTTCCTAAAATAGAGACCACAGGACACAGGACAACATCCAGACCACATCCACACCTTCAAGAACCCAGTGCTTTGCGAAGGGGGTAAGATACAAGCCCCGGCCCGGCGGGACCCAAGCGCCCCTCCCCCCAGCTCCCAGTGGGTGGAAAGAAACCGGAGCAGTTTTTTTTTTTTTTTTTTGGCAAGTGCTTTTTGGAAGCCTTAAAGGGACAGGGACCCCGGTGCTAGGGAGGCAGAGCAGCAGGACCAGTGAGCGGGTGCCTGGGACCGG